ATGAAGGTAGCATATGTACAAATGTGCTTAACACACTGGATGAAAGTATGGATTTTGATGAGATGTAAGAGCCCCCAATAAAAGTATTAAAAAGAAAAAACCCTTCATTTAACAGAGAGCATGTGGGTAAGAGAAAAGATGAAAATGATCTAAATGCCCATCACTCTGAATACGGATTAAGAAAAGTAGAGTTCAAGTGTCAAATGAAACATACAACCAATCAACACAATAACAATGCAAATGTCTACATGCTGACATGGAAAGCTGTTCCTAACACAAATTGCTGAGTGAAAACAGAAATATGTTCCCATATGTAAAACAAAACATATGGATCATTAATAAAGAAGCGTATTCATCAAATGCCTGTATTATTCTGAGTGAAAGAAGTCAATCACAAAAGGACATATATTTTATATAAGACCTCATTTACATAAAAAGACAGGAGAGGTAAATGTATCAAGAACTAAGTATTACTGGTTACCAGAGAGGAAGGGTGGTAATTCTTGCTTATGGAGCAGCACTGGTGCCAAAATCGTGAAGTGTCAACCAAAAGGGTTAAAAAAAAAAAAAGAAAAATTCACTGCCATAAAGTTGAGTTGAGTCCAACTCACAGGGATGCTCTATAGGGATATACTGATTTCCTGAGGCTGTAAATTTTTACAGGGAAGGACAGTCTCATCTTTCTCTGAAGGAGCTAGCTGAGCAGCTCATGGATTTGAACCTCCAACTTTGAAGTTTAGTAGAGCAATATGGAGTAGTTTCAGTTTATGGTGCTTAAAAAAAAATCTGATTAAGGGTAGGTTGCACACTACACCTATACAAAGCTAAATTTGCAAAAAGCTGTGTGATGTATTTATAAGAACAACCAGTCAACTTGAATAAGATGTTTATGTTCAACTAAATACCTCATGGAATCTGGCTACGTGAGTTGGAGATTTAGGGTCATGATTTCACAACACATTCAGTTAACTAATCTAACAGTGTGGTTAGTGCTTTGGGTCTACTTCCTAGTTCATTGGGGTCTTGAGAGCAGCCATCCAAGCCACAGCTGGTCTCTAATTTTCTGGAGCAACCCAGAAATTAAGAGTCTGGGACAAGAGGAAATGAAATGTGTAGCTCACTGTCTCTTTGCTAAGAGACCAGAAAAACTAGATGATGACAAATTAGCATTTCCAAGCACACTTCTCACATGCCCACTCCACTAAGGTTTCTGCTGAGCTGTGAAGGATGACGAAATAACAGAAAATACCGATGATGTCACTTCTTGGACTACGAGGATAAAGAAAGAAGATTCTCTATTAATAAACAACTCTTCAGTTTCTATCAAATTTATTCAAATATAATGCAAAGTTTTTCCATGGGAATAAAATCCTCATGC